TTTATATATATGCAGTGCTAAGAATTGGATCCTGTGCTTCACCCATGCCAGGCAAGTGCTCTACCACTGAGCTACAATCCCAGCCCTCAACCCACAAGCTTTTGCTCTCCTTATCACCTGCTGGCAGAATGGGCATGAGAATAAATAAGGAATGTGGCATTTCCTGTTTCTATCAAGATGCTCCTTAGTGCCATCTTAGCTCTTTCCCAAGGATCACTTTCCTCACCAACAAATACCATATAGCTCCTCTATGAGCATGATTTAGCATTTCTAATTTGCCCATGGCTACATTAGCATGCAGAGTCTTGCCCTCGGAGTCCTAACACACCACACTGATGGCCTCTGTTAGTTATCCCAAAGTCTTTGGTGGCTCCTCATGAACATTTAAATTGTCTACTCCCTCTTCTGGCACTCTTTCACACACCATGATTGAGACTAATAGTCATTTGTTATTTTTCCCCAAACACACTAGGCAACTGCCTTCCGCCCTGCCTGTTCTATTTGTCCACAAGGCCTATTCTCCCCTCACATTCACCAGCTTGGCCTCCCCAAGTTTCCTACAAATTCCATGAGGTTTTCTGATCTTTGTTCACGCTACTACTCTCTCTATAGAATACTTTCCTCCCTTGCGTCTCCGCCCACATGTCCCCTTCCTCTAACTTGTGACTACATCTTCCATCGAATTTTTCTGGCTTTAGCCACCTATGTTGTTAATTTGATACCTTACACAAACTTGTGCTGGTCTGCGTAGCTTCCATAATTATATCAGAGGCTGCCTATATAAAGTTTTGTATCCATATATTCAAGCATCCATAAGTATGGTATTAAGTATTTTGTGGTAGCAATGATGATGCCACAGTTAATTCTGATTAGGGAAATCACACTAGTGTAGTCCAAGGATTCAGGGGAAATTTTGGAGTGATGTCCAGAATTAATAGAATTAAGAAGATATGGATAGCAAGGAGGCCAGCTAAGAGTCTATTGAAGTAATTGGTGCCAGGACAAAGAAAATGACAACAGGAGTGAGGAGGAGACAAAGAACACATTGGAGAGAATCTAGAAGAGAGACACAGCAGGCTACCGGGAAGATTTTGGTCCAAGGGATGACAGAGTAGAGCCAGAAATAATTTCTGAGGTCTCTAGTCTATAGAAAATGGATGACTGACAAGGATGATGGTACAGAGAAAATTTTGTTTTGTATATCAATTTGAGAGGACTCATGGACAAGAGCTAAAGATAGTTATGAGTCATAAGAGATGGCTTCTTAAGGAAATAATCAATAGAAGGACTATAGAAAAAGAAAAGTAGAAGTCCATGGACATCTATGACCCAAGGATCCATCCAAGGACTGGTCATGGAGCAGAGAGGAAGCTGGGAAGGACACAGGAGGAGGCAGGATCTAGAAAGAACAATGACATGGACACCAACGGGGAATAGGGATTGAAGATTGGGTAGTCGGACTCCACTAGGTCTTGTGGAGAGTAAAGAATATCAAAGAAAACAGGGAGGGCCCAGAATAAGTTGGAGATAAATCTACCATGCCGGGAGGCGCTCTAACATGGTGGAAGCCAACCTGTGAGGATACGGTGGGAACTGCCTGTAGAGGACACTGATTTCAAACAGCATCTGACCTAGCAGCAGATGCAAGTAGCAGATGCCAATGAGAGGAGCTTCTGGTTTAGAATCAAAGAGAGCAAAGATTAAACATTCAGTTATCTTTTGAAATCTCTGAAAGGCATTCATCAGGACACACCTTGATCCAACTGCACAGCACAGAGCAGATATCACAGAGGTGGTGTGGAGTTGTCCTCACCTCCTGGCGGCTATACTTTCTGTTTGAATCAGCCCCATTGCTTACAGGTTCATGAACCTAGGCACGTAGCTCCATCTTATCACCTGTTTTAAAAGGCCTAACAACGTATTATCCTTGTGATAACTGAATGAGATCATCTGTGTTAGGTGCTTACTGCAAAGCCTTAAGAAAACGCTCAGTAGTCTTAAGGTAATAATTAGAGTCTGGAAGGAATCAGCACCACAAACATACTGGTAATTCTTGGGCTCAGAAACTCCTGGGTGCAGTATTCTTCATTTGTTCTTTGAGCTCTTCTATTGCTAGGCTTGAATTGCAAGATATAGCAAAAAATACAGGACACCCAGTTAAATCTGAATTTCAAATAATAAATGATTTTTTAGTGTAAGTATTCCCTAAATATTGTATGGGACATACTTATACTATTTGTTATTTATTCAAATTTAGCTGAGCATTCTGTTTTGTCTTGCATAGAATTATACTATTAGCCTAGTAGTTGTGTGGTCTCATATATGCAAGCAACTTATTTATCTGTGCCTCAGTTTCCTCATCTGTCAAAAGGGAGATTAAATGGATCTTTATAAGCACTTAGAACAGTGACTGACTCATAGTAAGCACTCTATGTATTACCATTCAAGTGAGGTTGTTCCTGGTTAATGCCAGGTTCTTGTGGTAAGGTTTGGAATCATAATATTGAGCATTCAAGAGAAATTTTTTAAAAATTACATTTTCACTGCTATTCTACTTGGTATTGTCTTTAAAATGCAACCTCAAACTGAAATAAAAAGAGTCTCTATCTTCATAATAGATTCCTTTGGCTTTAATGATTTTTATTCTCCAATAAATTCTTATGATAGGGTTGACAACCATCAAGGAAAATTCAATTCTCACTTGATTTTTGCAATTTTGCCCTCTGGAATAGTGCTGAACTGGAGTTGAAATAAATAAAAGTGCCCAGTTTCTTCCTTTTGCAGAAATTGTAAGAGTCTTGTCTCAAGGGTTTTTAGATGTTTCAAACCAATTCAAAATTATTTCTCAAATATAGGTCTTTGGCACTGAGAATGTTTTAGATGAGGGACTCTAATTGCAGTTCTGCTAGGGGAGGGTTTATTTATAAATTAAGCTAGATATGGGTTTCAAATACATCAGAGGTTGATATTCACCATCATTTCTACCCTCCCACCTCATCAGAGTCTTTATTGATTAAACAAGTCCTTGGTCTGAGTATGTAGCTTAACTAAATTTGTTTCTCCTTCACCTGAAGTGTGTTGGCCCATCTGTGTTACTATCACAGGATATGACAGACTGGGTAATTTATAATTAACAGAGATGGATTAGCTCACAGTTCTGGAGATTGTGAAGTCCAAGGTCATAGTGCCAGTGTCTGGTGAGGGCCTTTTTGCTATGTCATCATGTGGCAGAAGTTGGGAGGGGAGGGGGGTGGAGAGAGAGAGAGGGAGGTGGAGAGAACTGGGTCAAAAGGGGTCAAAACTTGCCCTTTTTTAATGAAGCAACTCTCATGATAAGGAAACTGCCCTCAAGATAACAGCATTAGTACATTCACAAGGCCATAACCTTCATAGTTCAATAACCTCTCAAAATTCCCACCTTCCAATATGGTCACAATGGCAATCAAATCTCAGTGAGACATTCAAACTGTAGCACAGCACGAGGTGTCCTTTAACTCCCCGTTTCCTCAGAAGTCCACTGGTCAAAGTTCTACTTACCTTTCTAGATTCTAGTAAGCTCCTGGTGTCCATCTCAGAGACCATAATTAGTCTTTTTTTTTTTAATTTTTTAATTTTTTATTGGTTGTTCACAACATTACAAAGCTCTTGACATATCATATTTCATACATTAGATTGAAGTGGGTTATGAACTCCCAATTTTACCCCAAATGCAGATTGCAGAATCACGTCGGTTACACATCCACAATTTTACATAATGCCCAATTAGTAATTGTTGTATTCTGCTACCTTTCCTATCCCCTACTATCATAATTAG